GGAGACAGCCAGGTCAATTCAGTAGCTAACTTCAGTGTTGAATCTTTTAATCTTTCAGACTGATATATCTCTAAACCATAATCTCACCGAAATACCGCTATCCGGGCAGCACCTTATCGCCAACCGTAAAGTAAATCATTCAGAGTAGACAACTTATCATTAGGTCTAGTGAGGAGGTTCACATTTTCGAGCAGTGGTTTTCCTATAGATGTCTGGTGATGAGGGTCTTTCTTGATGAAACTAGGTGGTGGCCTCTAGGCAGTACTGTATACGGCGTTTGATAAAATATAGCGCTCGCTGAACAAGGAGAAGATGAGACCTAGCTTACCGAGTTTCGCTGGATTCGTAGAAGAACACAATTACATTCTCCCATTCAGTAAGTCTATCGTTGCTGGATTAAATTTCTTTATTTGGTTCACTGGTATTTATATCAGTATAAACCCATGTTCTTCCCTCCATCGCAAGCAGTAACTTCTGTCTCATTTGGACACCTGGTGTTCCTTGCTTATGTTCTGAAATTGTTACCGACTTGCAAGTAGATGTATTTTTATACCACTTGGATCTAACTTCCGTAACCCATGTTTCAATTGAGTTTACACGCTCGAGGAACACCGATCGCATTTCTTTAAAGTTTGAAATTCTTGAAGCTAGGGCCCTGGAACCTAAACCTAGACTGTTTTCCTTTAAATTAACTCGCTCTGGCTAGGCATCTATGGTAATTATTCGTCACTTTGTGTTGCATCAAGTGCCGAGATTACGCGTCTAGTGCGGGCGATGGTGGCTGTGTCTGATCTAGAAGAGGCAGTCTGGATAAAGTAGACGTACAGGGGTCCCTGAAAAGCTTATATTTGAGCTTCGTCAGCGATCAAATCAGGCATGTCCGTTCTCCGTCTCCGTTCTCCGTTCATTATATCCATTGACTAGAAGATCTGCATTTTGGAAGTTACGTCAGGTGTTACCCAAATGCCCTCATGGGTGGAAATGAGTCTGCTTTTCGTGATATCCTGACTTGATCCCTATAGGCATGGAAAAAAATAAATAGTGAGGAGGTCGACTAAATTGAAACTCTAGTCCTTTAAACAGAAACAAAGATTTAGCAAAGACGGCTTCTTCTCAATTGTCTACTTCATTATGATGTCGGGTTCTATTATTGGGCTGGTGGCCTTCTCACTCCATTTGATCTCTGCCGCCGCGCAAAGTAGGCCGTGTTACTGCCCCTAGTAAGAAATTACTACTGACATTCCTTGCAGACGGCTCCAATGTTGAATTGATTGACCCGTACACACGATTCTCGGACCTGAATCTTAGCCTTCCCTTGAATGCGAGTTTCCCAGTTCTTCAGAGCACATTTGAAACCCAGCCGGATTGTGGCGAGCAGGCTTACCATGGCTACGGAAGACTGCAGGGCCTCAGGGCTCTCATCACTGGCGGTGATTCGGGGATTGGTCGTGCGGTAGTTATTGCGTATTTGAGAGAGGGCGCAACTGTCACCATCAACTATCTCCCCGAAGAAGAGTCTGATGCTCAAGCTCTGTCATCCTTTGTCGCCGAGGAAGGCTACACCATTGAGCGGATCCCGGGCGATCTCCGAAACGAAACCTTCTGCGCTGACCTTGTCACAGAGGCGCACAGCAGAATGGGGGGGATCGATATCTTCGTTGGCAACGCGGGGTAGGTGATGGCTGTGTAAAGCCTCCATGCTTTATCCGATGCTAACAACTCTACAGATATAGTGGTGTGACAGCTGGTCCCAACGCTCCCAACATTACGAATCACCCGACTGAGCAGATTCAACGTACATTTGAGACCAACTTTTACGCAAACCTGTGGCTCGCCCGAGCTGTTGTTCCCCTGCTACCCCGTGGCGGTAGCATCATCTATACCGCCTCCGGAACAGTTTCAAATCCTGGTCCTGGAAACCTCGACTATGGCTCAAGCAAGGCGGCTCTAGTTTACTTTATGCGTTGTCTCGCGATGCAGGTAGCCTCGTCCGGTATCCGTGTGAACGCGGTGGCACCAGCTTTGGCATATACTCCTTTTCTCGCGGCGTCAGGTTTCACGCCTGAGAATCTAAGTGGGGGATCGTCTCCTATTGGACGTATCGAGCAGCCGGTAGAGCTTAGCCCGCTCTATGTCGACCTGGCAGCTCCAGATAAGACGTATATCTCGGGCGAGGTCTACACGGCCAAGGGTGGTTCGCTCGGCCTATAAACAACATGGCCAGATTAATCGAGCACTCTGCAGCTATCATTACAGAAGGTGGAGCTGAAGTAACTGTTTCATCAGTCTTGATCGGGAATGATGGTGTGGGGTTCAGCGAGATAGAAATGGGTACGACTGTCTAGGGGGGGTGAGCCATTCTTTACAGTTGAAGGGGTATTGATTCCGAGGAATGAGCACCACTTTTGTATTAAACCGTCGTCACGAGAGAGCTCTATTGCGCCTACATGGTCTTACTAGGTCATGGCTGTCTATTTAATGATTAGGACAAGGCATCTAACGATGCGTAAGTCAACCTTACAGTAGTAGACAGGGCAATGGTGGCAGCATTAATAGTCCTAGCATCTCAGAGTCAGGCATCCGCATAATTTCGATTCCTTGTCTACTCGACTGCTACTATTAGATTACTACCTTCTCTTTGCCTTCGCTAAATCTATATGATAACGACCACCCCGTGAGTTAGTCGACTATAAATATAGACATTTCATCAGCAAGCCAGGCTGAGAATAGCAATATGTTAAAGGGGTGAGTCGATTAGTAGAAAGCATCGGATAGCTGCGCCACGTGACACTATATAGTATAAGAGGCTGTATCTGGCTAAACCGCCCGAACCAGGGTCTAGGCTAAAAGAACAGTGGGGAAGCAGGGTGTAAAATATTAGCAATGAAATTAGCACTTCTGCTTGCTTATTTATTACTGATGCCAGGTTATCGCTAGGGGGGATCTCTTGGCCTAGGATTGTTTTTATTCCTACTTGCTCTTTATTAATCATCATGACTCCCCAAAAGACTGCGGCCATTTGTTCAGCAGCTATGTGGGACCTTCCTTAACTCCTCTAGTCGGTAAACCTATAGGCCAACTTTATCCCTTAATAGGCCTTTATCGTTACTCTGCCTTTCACTCTGTTCTACCTTGCTCTCGGTCGCATTTCGGGCCTATTTATAGCTGACTATAAGAGCAAGCGATACTTTGAATCTCTAGTCTATTTCGATTATAACATCGCCTTTGCAAAACAGTTGTGGAAGCCTGGCGAGCATGACGGTGGGGTCGGGCCCTATTAGATCCCCTAGCTTCGAAATCCTTCTAACTGGTGGGTGAAGCTGGGCCTTGACCGATTTAATGTTTTGCTTATTCTCGAGGAAAACGATACGCCTATAGACTAATTTGCTTGGCTTAACTCACTGTATTGTAAAACTAACGAAGGAGGGGAGGGCGGATGCTGGCATTATTAGATCTACGTTGCAAACCATTTATTTTACTACAATAGGAAGCCTCTTAATGTCTGGGATAGTGCATTTAATAAGCTACTATATTATTATTACGTAAATCTAGCACCTTGCGATATAAGCTTCCACTATATCTTATACCCTTTATTATTTCTCTGCGATATCTAGAAAACTCGGTCTCCTACGTTAATTCACTTCACGACTAAGAGGGTAAGCATTCTGCTGGATAAGGACCAAGAAAACAGAAAGGCTATACTAGGTTATACTCTAGTGACGGTGCGTATAATTGAGTTTCCTATTACTATAGAGATGGAGATGGCTCTTATGCCTAGAGTTTTCCCGAGCCCCTTTAACTAGATGAAAAGCATTACGAGCGATTCATCCATCTAGCAAGAACACGTTCCTTAGTTAATTTAGAACCAACTAAAGGTCAGACTTAACGATATAGTCAAATGAAAGAGCATAGATTATCCCAGCTCTTTCGGATAAATAATAAAACTAGATAAATAGCTATCGAAAAACATACTTAAGCCTTTAAGTTTGGAAATATTACGTGAAGCCCTCCTAGCTATTAGGATAGTGTCAACGTTTCTTGGATCCTGGATCATTAAAATAGCAGGGGATCTACTTAATACGTTTTTAGAGGCAGTAGATGCTAATAAGAGAGGCCTAGGGGGGAGCACTAAGGATTATTTAACGATAAAGGAGAAGAGGGAGCCGAATTTTATAGCATAAGTGATGTATGAATTTTTCGATACTGACTATAATCTTACCTATAAGAAGAAGCTTATAAAAATTACTAAGGATTTTGAGGCTTTAAATAATGTCTAGAACATTACGAGAGAGGGGCAGGAGAGGAGGGAGACAAGGTGAGAGATATAAGGCTAGCGATGGGAATCTTAAGGCAAAAGTAATATAGCTAGGTGAGTTGAGTGAATTTAAGATGAACTATAAAGAGATAGTATATTAATTAATTATAATTAGAAATATCATAATAATTATATTAGACTTCTCAAAGATGCCCCTACCTAACGACGTTGATCCATGACACCCATTCATAACTCCTTCACCGGCGTGACCCTCTTGCCAAACTCTAATTCCTCTCTTTCCTTGTATTCCAAGGCTGCTCTTCCTCGCCTGATCAAACCACATCCTCATCCCAAATGTCGCCAAGCCCCGAGGTTTTTGAGCTGTAAGACTTGGCTGCGCAACTTCCCCCCATACATCTTACATCTCTCCATAAGATAAAGGCCAGAGAGAACAAGAAGCTGGTTGGTCCAGATAAAACGGCCGGCCTTTGAAGAAGGAAGGAGGATGTTGAAACGTGGACCAAGGAGGAGCTGCTAGGCATACTCAACTTTGAGAATATCATTCGCCAGGTCTGCGTTGGGGTGAACCTCGAGCTGTGGAAGGAAGAGGATCTAGACCGGCATAGGTCCGAGGTATTGAAATGGGATATATGCTCGTCTAGATCCTCCTCAGCCCACGTTTCAATATTATTTTTCTCTCTTCTAAAAAGGTCAGCCGTTTTGGCTGGAGCAACCAGTTGCCTTTTTATTTCCATGCTAGCATCTCGCACTGGAGTGACGCGAACCAGGCGTCCTCCGTCTCAGCCCACTTGGACACGGCAATAAGCGTCTGTTCTATTTCTTTCTCCGTGATACCGGCATCTAACCAGTTCTTTCGGAGTGTCTCGCCCTCCTGGAGCTGGCTTGCAGCGCGCTTGGCTAACCACTTCCGAATCTCTGGCCCTGAGCTCGCCGAGGATGAGGTGCCGATGTGAACCTTACCACCATCAGTGTCAAAACCCGCCTTCCGGAATAACACAAGCATCATCGTCCCGGTGGGCTCTACATCAGGTAGCCCTTTAAGTATTGCCCGACGGAAATTTCCAACCCACAGTCGGTCGATTTCTAGGTTCTTGGGGTAGAAATGCTGCTCAGCTGCATCGCGTGTGGCTAGAATTCCTCCCGATTTCAGGACCCGTCGGATCTCTGCTAGTGCCTGCAATGGCTGTTCTGGTGGTGGGAAATACCCAAAGACCTGGGAGCAGTAGACGATGTCGAACGATTCGTCAGGATAGGCAAAGCCTTCGATGACATTGCCTTGCTCGAAGATAACGGAACCTGAGCCCTCAGATGGAATGTTGGCTTCAGCTGCTAGGTCCTTTGCCTTCTGTAGGACCTCTGTCGACATGTCAACTCCAATAATTGTGCCTTTGCTGGCATATTTGGAAAATCCCGTTGTAATGGTACCAGCTCCGCAGCCAATATCAAGAATACGGTCTGTTTCTTTTATGTGAGGCAGGATGAAGGCAGCATCTGATTCGGCCGTGCGTGTCTGTTGCGTTTTGAGAGTCTGCTCGGAGTAGCCCTGCGTGTAGTGACTTATGCGTTGCGTCATGTTTTTCCTGTCCTCGGGGTTGAGCGGGTGTCGTGTAGTCGAGTAATAATATCGTCTTACTTGATGTGAGTGCTACCATGGAAGCAAGATTATTAGCGTCGACTTCGTCAATGAATGTTTGATAATCTATTCATTGATAGTTTAGGTCATTGCGTCTGATTCCTTACATTCGAAAAACTTTCTCCTTAGGCCCAGATGATCTGGATTGAAAAGGTGAGTCCTCAAAGAGTGTAAGGAGCTAACTGATTATAAACATTTCTCGACAGCTACGCTTGCGGCAACGTGAGATGCCAGACTCGGAGATAAAGCCCCCGCATCAAAACGTCTTTTATACTTAGGCCCGGTGCCGACTCGGCTATTCTCAAGGGCCTCAGGCAGCCTTGCCTTAGAAGCATTGTAACGTGTTGTGCTGACTAATGGCTGATCATCATCGCAAGGGCTCTACAGCTGGACATGACGTAGCGCCTTATCTATTAGTTCTTACTGAACCAGAGGAGTGAGAATTATTCAGTACGTCGTAGCTAAGCTGGTAGCAATCATAAGTCCTTAGGTTGTATAATTGATGGATGACATTACCAGGGGCGCGTCGGCGATGTATAAATTGCAACAGCGGACAGATAATTGCCGTACATAAAAGCCAATAGTAATTTATGTCAACTTCGCTGATTAACGTATTATTTCTTGATCACTTCCTGGGATGAAGAGACCTCCATTAGTATCTACCTATACCAATGTCCTGCCACGAGACGGAAGATGGCCACTAACCTCTTCAGGTTGGCTGCCTTTGTCTATCAGGGATTTGAGAATGATTAGCCAGTTGAGTCAGGTTATAACCATGTTGGAAGCGGCAGTACTTGTGCTAATTGTGACGAAACACGAGATATCAATTGCCATTAGCGGCTACTCCTGCCCTGGAGATCTTTGTTCTCTGAAGACTGGCCAGATACAGGAACTTCAAACGAGAGTGCATGCAAAATCCCCCTTGGGAACACTACGGAGGTAAGAGTCCATCGAGGGTCTGGAAGCAGAGCTATAAAAGGATCAAAAGGCAGATGAGGGCTTCCACATGGCTCTTGGGTGACACCTGGGAAGTTATCACTACCGTCTCCAGTGATGACCTGACAATAAAGGTTCGGATAAACACCATCAAGCTCAACCTTGAAATAAGAAAAGTTTGAGCGCACCATCAATACCATTTTAGACTAGCTGCGACCTTTTGCTAGCGAGGTTTCCCGACTTGGGAGGTTGGTAATGGGCATTCATTGCCTCATCTCTCCTTCCTCCTAGCTGCCAACATGCCGTTTCCATTCACTCTGCTATGTGACCTTCTCAACCGACTTGAAAGAAACCACTAGCCATCCAGCGTCAAGAGAACCCAGGAAGTCCACGCTTGGACGGTTGTCTTTTGGTTTAATAAACACAATATGGCTATTCTATAATGAGGCTCGGAAGCTATTACGTTCCTATTATTCTTATCTATAGCTCTAAAAGAGAGAAGTAAATAGAAAAATAGCTAATTAATCTAAAGGATAATACTTTATATATTTACATTAAGCTATGAAAGAAATTAATATTATAAATTTTAGGATAATATTATGACCTTGGAAAACGGATATTTGGATCTATATGTAGTCTTTAATCTATTATCTAGTGTGTAATTACCCTATCGCTACTAACTTTTGTTTGATGGAATGAATTAATGAACCAAGGTGGTGACTAGAGGCCGGATTATACCACGGTTATTGTGTACTACATTTCATTCGTAATAACTTTGCGAGCTCAGTCCGTGGCTGACTTGGCAATCTTGTTCCATGAATCCATATATTTCTCGGATTGGAACCGTCATCCAAGCGAGTTCAAGTAGCTGATTGGCAACTCGTTAAACCTTGATTGTCACATAATTGGAAGACCCATACCGTTGCTCGGGGTTCGGCGAGCTCATTTTAAACTCAATATCCATCTCCCGAGACTCAAACCTCCAGGCGGCCATCACAGCCTTCACCCGTCTCTCCTCAGGGATAGGGCGGATCTCTAACCAAGAATAATTGGTCGGGGGTTCATAGCCTTCTGAAGACCACGCGTCCCACGACACAGCGAGTGCCTCGTCTTGGACGGCATGCAATGCACAGTAGTTTTTACAGCCTGCCAACATTTCATCATCATACCCTGCTCCACCACCTCGCTCTCCCTTTTCTTCGATGGCTATGATCTCTTCCACTATCAATGCAGCCCCGTCGCTCCTCCACATGCCTTCGTGCCGATTCATCTCTTTCAAAAGTTTTAGCCCGTGCCGTCGCAACGCGGGGTGTCTGCATCTATTGGCTGTGCCAAATAACGGCGCTACCAGGGCCGGCTCAAGACTAAGTTGAAGGGACGTCGGTGCGTGCTGTTGTTTCATCACCGCATATGACAGAGTGATTAAACGCTGGAGAAAACCTAAATGACGGTCGAAGCGTGATTCTAAGCCATCGAGCGTGCATTTGAAGACGGTTCTGAGCCAGCAGTGATAAATCCGAATGACGATCGCTGCGGATTCATTCCCCAATCGCACATCTTCAGCCTCGAACTTAGCCAATTGGCGTTCAAGCTGCTCTGTTTTCTCAAGTAGCTCACGGAACATGGAGTTGTACGTAGCTTCATCAATGGAGCCATCGAAGAAGATTTCATAGTTTATCGTGACTTGGCGTACTAGTGCGAAAATTGTTGAAGAAGCTTGAGAGTAGGACTTGATCGAAGCGTCTGTATTGATCATGGCCTGATTTATGCTTCGAAGGGCGGCAGCCTCGGCATAAGGATACGGCGTACGAACGTCGCCGAATGTAAGTGACTGAATATCCATGCGTGTGAGGGTGGAAGCCATCCGTTGGGCGTCCGGTGTCCTCCCGGAATCCTGAGCGAGGATCTTGAATGCAGAGAGGATGTGTATATGGGACTCATCCCAGAAGCCGAGCATATTCGCAGAGGCAATTAGGGGGAGGCTTAGCGCGAGGATCTTCGCAGGGGAATTTAAGTCTTTCGCGAGCGATAACGCTTTCCCGTAATGTGTTGTGGCGTTATGTATCAGGCCGTCCACCTCCATCCCGGCTGATTCGAGTTCCCATCTTCGATGCAAGGCACCTAGAGCATTTGTCGCATGCCATATCGCAGGCTCGGTGTGAGCAAGCTGCAGCAGGACTTCACTCCAGAAGTTCGAGGGAATGATTGAGTCTGTACTGGGAGCAGTTGTCCTGCGAAAGTAATCAAAGTAGACGAAATCTTGATGCGACAAGGATCTGCCACTGCTGCCCGGCAACGGCATGTGTTGAGGACGCGCTGTATCGAGCGAGCTGAGAGACGACAGTTTGGCCAGAGCTTCGGCAGCGGGTCCTATGCTGCCCACCAACAAACCAACGAGTTGGCGACGTGTCAGGCGTTGATCTTTAGGGAGGTAGCCATCACATATTCGCTTCCCGGCTTGGCAGCGGAGACAATGAGGTTTTCTCTCATCGCATTTTACGCGACGGATCCTATCGGTTTGTTTTCAGCTCCGTTGGTGCTGCTCGCCTCATGGAATGAATAGAGGGCTTACCTGCAGGAAATGCAGCCAGTGTGGGTGCGTTTGAACATCCTTTATTGCTGTGGCGAGGAGGTCGACTATGAGTAGCCTCTGAAATAATTTGTGGTAATTACCAGAAGAAATGGGACTTGGGCAGCTCACGCGAGTGCCAAACTTGCAGGCATTATCAATCCGGTCTGTTGGATCCGCTGGGTGAGTGGGCTGTGCTTAGCTGGTTAATAAACCATGGGCTTCGTCATTGCTAGGATATAAGCCACAAATGCCGTGGATATGAGTAAGACCTAAATCGTTTTAAACGTAAGCGAGCGTGCATAAAAAGTAACTCAACGCAATTTGTTCGACATATTAACATTCATTTAAAACGCTATGCACCACCAGTGGATTTTGGGGCGGGATGGACAATCAAAGAGTCAGAGGCATGAATAGGTACATACATACAATACAATACCCCGCGTAAGGCTCTGGCACTTTGCACATCATCCGCTTCTTCAAACTTTCCTTCTGCTTAATCCAATCCGAGAAGTCTGTTTCAGCTCAGTAGCAATGCGGATTCATAGTAATTTATCTCCGGCATTCCCTCAAGTCAATGCTACTAGTAGCTCAGCACCGGCGAACCGTCCACAACAATCGAACGACCGCTAAACGACCTGGACAATGGCGAAGAAATATACGGTTGGCTGGATATGTGACCACGTCGATAGTAGCTTATCCATGCGGAAACGTCGTTCGGACTGGTTCCCTTTGACGGGCCAGCCGCTTTCGAGGAGGCTGATAAGCTTTCATTCCTGGCCAACGCTATCAAGACGAGTCGGACTCGAGGCGCTAATACGACTAAGCCGTGCGCTATGCACGTCTAAGCAACGGGACAGCAGCCGCTCATACTGGTGGAACGAGGTGCGGACTTTGCGGGCAGCCTGCATAAGGACTTCTTCCCGTGCACCTTCCCGAAGCTTTTCCCCTGAGGAAGAGGTGGCCCAAAGGCGCTGCACGTGCCGGACTGCGAATAACAACCTGCCTCGGAGGCTGCCGAGCGCCATTCAAACCACTCGCTCAGCTACTAGGCCAGATACATGCTACAGCAATACGGGGGCCGATTTTCCACCTATCCCATCTTTTATTTTCTCGTTTTCAACATCCTTCTCCATTATTTTAATTGCTGTATCAGTATGGTATGCATGGTAAAGGCCTCTTTCGAGAGGGTTGAATGGGTATACGGAACCCTGACGGGGGACCGCCTGAAAAGAGCCGAGGATGAGCTGCGAGAAGTAAGAATGGTGATAGACGCTTATGTAGCGTTCCTGCTCCGTGAGCTCTGCATTTTTTGGCCATGCCCAAGTCCGTTCTATGTTTCTGGCTTGATCTGGGATCTTGTGTAGCTAGGCTGTGCTAATTCCGCAGCAACAAATAGATATATATATATATTCGTTGAAATATATATTTGCGAGCATATTTCCCCGGAGACGTCGATTCGACTAGAATAAGGTTCCTCGCGCTCCGAATCGGACAAAGGGTGGTGGTACACAGATCGCGTCAATATTTCTTTCAGTTGTGACGGAATTGATATGCTCTTGGACGAAAATGAACCAAATGATTCCCAGTCCCACGCGGAGAGGCTGGCGGCCGCAGCCATCACCCAGACGTATCACTACATGATCAAAGGCGGACTCGAGTACGGCTTTCTGACGACGGGCGAGACTATCGTTTTCCTCAAAATTAACTAGCAGGAGCCCGAGGCCTTCTACTACCACCTACCAGAACCCGGTGCCGAGGTCTTGGCACACCCAGATCACTTCCAATTCTGCACAGCTGTGGGTTAATATTTGGCATTCAGCCTGATGGCCCTCGGTCAGGAGCGACGGGTGCACGGACCCAGTGGCAGCTAGAATAGGGTCTTAAATAATGTCGTCTTGAAATAGGGCGAAAATAGTCATATTTGAAGGCATCGCGATTTTGCAAAAGGGTCGCCCTTGGGGAGGGGGGGGGGGTTGATAAGGGTGGCGACTCACTTTGGTCCGCAAGGGATTCTTGGTGTGGGGACCAAATATAGTGCCCACTTCGTTCCCCAAGGCACAGTACACTCCTCGTGAACAAAACGCTAGGTAAGCGTAGCGATCGGTCACGGCCAGGCAGGGTGGAGGAAGCCGATTGCAAATATTATTAGTGCCACTGTTCCAGGTAATCTGTATTTTTTGTACTGGTATTATCTGACTACTCTGCGCTGTTCATAGTATTTGAACTCTAAAGAACTCAAAACAAACCTTGGTTTCAAGTCTCCAATCATTTGTAGTGTCCAAATTTCTGTGTCCCCGATGCACCGATACAAAACATACAGTAACACTTAGTATTGGTAAGTAGAGAGGCCAGCTATGACAGAGCGTTGTTCGTGTACATATTTTCTATAGCTAATGACCTCATAACCTTCTCTTAGTCATTACCCGACAAGTGCTTTTAAGAATTATACATATCCGTATCTTTTCTTCCAATCAAATATCAAACCGTCTCTGTAATGTCTTTCTAAAGCCCCTGAGTTCAACCTCGACAACCTCCCCAATATCCCTAGTGCTAAACACTATATCATCTAATCCGACCTTCCCATACGAAGCCACATCTAACAGACCCCAATCACTACAGGCGTCGGAAAATATCTGCAACCCATCGTTTTGACTCTCCAATGAGAAAATAACTCGATAACTTGCTGACGATGTCCCGTTTGAAGTATTTTGGAGGTTGGTGGGATACATCCTCGGATGTCCAAATAGAGGGGAACCCCAGATACCTGGGACAGTCTCGAGCAAGACATCAACACCATTGTTAATCCATGAAGTGATGGCTAAGCCCGGTCCATCGTCGACTTCGATCCTTATTGAAGAGTTAGTTTCGAGTGAGGTGTACAAGCCTCCAAACTTCTGGAATGTCTGCTTTCTTGCAATGGCCTCCAGGGCTGGGACGTATTTCGATACCATTAACTCGGATAGGAGCTTGATAATGGTGCCAGCACCATCACCGGCGACGTTGATGGCAAGGGTGACGCCGAAGTCGGGAATCAATACCACCTTGGAGTAGTAGACCATGAGCGAGCCGTCTTTGGTATAGAGATCGATGATCCGTCCGTCGCTGGTGGAGTTCAAGCTCAGGCGACGGATCTCCCAAGGTGCACCGATCGAGAATTTAGGGTCTGATGTATGTGCCAGGGGTTTGAGCCAGGCCCTCGTCTCTTCAGGCGAGAGAAGAGTGCTCTTGAGAATAGAACGTATGAATGCTGATAGGTCATTCGTTGATGCGTAAATTCCCCCTGTTCTAACTCTGTGTCAGTATGTAACATATCCCTCTATGAGCTTTTAAAGGAATACAAACGCGGCTACGTCTCCTTGGTCTGTTGACCACCATTTTTGACCTGTTGGAATAATAGCACAAGAATTGGTTGTTGGCATCTTATAAGTTGTTTTGCTGAGATTTAATGGCTTGAATATAGCATCCTCAACTGCTACCCGCCATGGCTTCCCAGTTACAGCTTCTAAGACGTATCCAAGAAGAATGATTCCCGGATTGGAATATCCTGGGGTTGAAAAGGTATGGTGAACTGGATGTCTCTCGATAATACTTCGAAGTAAAACTAGATATCTGTAAGAGTCGGATGACAAGTAGGGCATGTCATGTAGAAAGGCACATACCGTCCTTTGTGCAAGGTGGTTGGCCTTCATACCCACCACAGTGGACTACCTCTGACTCGTTGAGCTTCGGAAGTCCTTTAGATATAAGATCTGGCAATGCAACTGAGGCGTCCAACGGGGCAACTAGGAAAGAATCATCAGCATACTGCGCTTGCTTCATAGGGAGGAATACACTAAAACGGTCGACGTACAAGTTTCTCCTAATCCGGACATATGAGATGCCAGTGAACCTATTGTGACCTCTTTCCACGCCACCTGAGCGACGTCATTAAGGCTGGAATTTTCCTGCCCAAGTGCCAGTTCCTGGAGTTCTGGAATATACTTGGTGACGGGCTCGTTGAAGATACTATGGCCTCGTTCGATAAGGAGCGTATAAGGGATGAACGTTTTAGAAACACTGCCAATTCTGTATATGCTATCCCCGGTAGCCTTAGAAGCACTCGTTAGGTCTAAGCCACTAGATGAAGCTGTATGGTGATATTCGAAAGCAGGTTTTTCTGTCGTATCGTTGACTGAGGTAAATACAATAGAAAATGATACTTGGGTGGGATCAAATGGATTGCCACCGAAGTTTCCGTCGCCAATGGCTCTGTCCAAGATTGTGGACAGTTCATCGGCAACTGCGATCCCTTCGGGCTCTGTCGACACATTGGTAGGTTGGGAGAAAACAGGGCCAAGTGGAGGGCAAAATTGAAGAGCGTGAAGGTTGGGGATCTTCACAAGAAGTAAAACCGTAAAGAGTACCATTTGATAAAGCATATTGAGCCTGCAAAATTTAAAGATAAGAAGGAGACTGATGGTAGAGATGAATTTATATTGCTTAGGTTTCCTGTGGCGGTATTCTTTTCCCTCTTTCTGGGAGCAATTAGTTATTTAAGGCTATTTAAGGTCTGGGACAAATGAGCAAATCTGGATTTGAATAAGTACATCCAATGCAAATGTGCGGATCCTGCTACACCTACATCAGATCCAGGCAAAATTAAAGAAATAAATTGTGGGGCTCCGCCAACCAAGCCATAGTCGATACAGTCAGCCAGCTGGAAAATGTCTGTGCAGAAGCTCGCCAATGGTCAGAAGCTCGCCAATGCATCTGGTTGGTCCGTTCGCTAATGACACATTATGAATCATTCAATGCGTGCGTCATAGAGAACATTGCGTAGATCCGCATCGCAGTAGAGGATATGGCGCTTGCGCGGTGAACGCGGTGACAATCTCATCTCTTATTATAACTCGTATCACTAGATCGATAGACGCGAAATGCTCATATTCGCTCACAGGTGTCTGCTTTCACCGTACAGGAGCTTGGAAAAGCTTCAGCTCGTGGACTCGAGCAAAAGGGCTTATTAAGCATGAGCGGCAGCAGCGGCAGCAGCCGTCTCCGCGGCAGCCTTCTCCATCCTTTCCCCGTCAAATTCAACCCATGCACCATTGTCCTTGCAGTCATCGCAGGGATCCCTTAGTGTAGTCTTCCCCATGTTACCTCACGACGCGCCCTTTGATATCAAAATCATCTCATTTAGACGCCTGGAATCTTTGGTGGCGCACGGCTCAACGCATTAGGTATGGCACAAGTTTGGGGTGGAGGGGGAACCGGAGACTTACCTTGTTGCGTCCTCTTCGATCGTGTGGTGGGAATGAGGGAATCCACATTCCAATGATTAGATTTACACATTCCATCTCGGTCTAAACCAAAATTTAATGTTTTCACACGCTGACCTTATTAAACTGCCTGTAGGCTGCGAGCAGGTAATGAAGCATGTCCAACTAGGCGTGGGTCAATGAGCAAAGGCGGGATGAGTGTTCGGACCCAGCTTCCGGATATCTTGGAAAGGCTATTTATTTACAGAGGAGAGGGAACAAGAGGAGAAAAAGGCAAGGAGCGTTAGGCTGTTCACATACATGTACATGGGCGAATTGAGTAGCCAAATTTAAATAATTACACAGCTGAGCTCCAAGCCTATTAGTGTCAAGAATATTTTTGATTAGTCTAAAGCAGGTGGGGCATGGAGGAGCCATCAAGGATAAATGAGGTGTTCACGGTAGCGGCGTACCAGGTACGTCCATACAAGGGCCTCGGCCTTGAAACGCACCAGCTAGGGCTAGTAGATCAGGAAAAATTAGCAGCATATAAGAGTTAAAGCGCATAGGGATTCAGCTAAGAAAATAGCGGCTGATTAAGGCTAGAATCTCATTAGGGAGATCGGGGAGTAATATATCCTATATGACCGTAGGTCTCGCTATATATAAAGATTTTCTAAGTGACTTTATTATTAGAATTATATATTTAAGGCTGATCGGTAATTAATAAGTTAATAAGCTATAGGGTTAGCCTTAGTTAGTCTAATAAGTATTACGGCTATATATATCAGATATATACTAATTAATTATAGGCTTTTAGTAATAAAAGTCCTGGAACTTAGCTATATAATTAGAGAACGCAGGACAGGGTTCAAGTATAACTAATTTAACTATTGTTATTCCGTAATATGAGATACGATATTAGCGAGAGACTATAGCAGGCTAACACACCTTTATTCTAAAATAACCCCAAGATATAGCTAGGAGGCCGGGTGACTTTATTACACCTCTTAATATAGCTAGCTTTCTATATCTTATACTATATAATAAGCGCTATAGCTTTCTAGGGTTATTCTAAAGTAATTAAGGATAATCCTATAGGAAATAGTCTTAATACCTTCTATACTTTATTTAATTTAATCTATAAAGGAAGAGGTATCTCTTACTTAGAGAGCGCCTTAGATTAGCTTAATTAAGAAGGTAAATATTAAGATAGCCTCTCTATAAGATATTATTTAATATTTTTAGATATTTAGGATCTTATATCTAGCCTTCTATTAGCACTTTAAATACTCCTAGTTACTTATCTTCTATTATTAAATATAGAGTATAATACCCTTTAAAGTAATCTCCTAATAATTATTTCTATTATTATATCTAATAACTTTAACTTTAACTAGATTAAACTACTACTATAATTTACTCTTACTAGTAAATATAATAATATAATTATCTAGAAATAAGTCTATAATACTATTACTAAATCTACTCTACCTCTCTAACTAATAGCCTCCTCTATTTAATAAACCCCTTAGCTATATAGTATTAATAGCTTTATAAACTTATTAAAATATTATAAATATATAGATAATATACTTAAAGAGGAGCTTAGCTCTATATATATTAAGTTATATAACTTCTATAATAT